TTCATTTGTGAGTTTTTTCTTGTAATTGTAATTGTAAGACATACAGTAGTAGACATAGTATAAATTATTTTATTACCTAATAATTATGTCATAGGCTATAAAGTAGCACAACGTTTAATTAAATTACTTTTTATCATTTGTTTTCATATGTAAAAAAACAAAAACAAAACAACAACAATCTGTAAATAATATTTTGTCTCTAAATTTCTAGGTAACTTTAACATGTAAAATAGCATCAATTTTTCCTGTTAATATTGTGCTTACTTATCATAGTGAAACATTTGGGGGACAGAAAGACACAACATTTAACATACATTTTTTTTTTTAAGTAGCATGAATTGCCTTTCATCTTCCACAAGAAAACTTGTGCTCAACCTCTGCAGACTGACATGTTAGATGGTCTTTCGTCTCTAGTGTGTCCTTTGCCATTCACGGAAGAATAATATTGCTGCATGCCATCTGCATGTGATCTATGACCTTTGATACAATTTGAAGAATCTAACATTGCAGTTATTCCTTTGATGTGAGATTTTATCTGTCTTTTTTCAGATTGATATTTTTATCCTATAAAGATCCTTTCACTCTCGTTTTTAACCAGAACAGCACAGGAAGACAACGGCTGACTACAGAGGTGCAAGGTAAAGAACGCTGTTTCTTGGTGAATATTTACTTACAGTACTTGTTTCTGAAATATGCTTGATTTAATACTGCTTGTCATTGAATGATAACTTTGATGACAAAGTATTCCATGCAGGCCTTAGATGAGACAGCTATGGATTACGATATTTCTAAATTATCAAAAATTTGTATGGATACTCAAATCTGAATTCACATTACCTGCATGCACATGAGATGTATGTCGGGACTTAATAATATTTTAACCTTGTTGTAAAGCAAATGATTATGATACTATGTATGTCGCATATGAAATTGAGATTATTGAAATTATTTACTGTTTATCTTTACTGCATGTACGCCTATACTCAAACGTTGGAAATATGAAAGTGGGAGGATAAAAGAGATCAATTTATGGTCACTGTGAGTCATTTTGTTTGTTTTTTTCTCAAATCTTCGCGGATAACATCCTTATTTTACGAACAAAGTTTAGGTTTTTTTTTTACTTTCATGTGGTAGAGATGGAATGGAAAGTAGCTGACAAATATTGATGCCCATATGTAGTTTCACTTAGATTATTATGTCTTGTGAGGCAGGTAAAATGTATGCGAAAATAGGAAAAATGATCAAGCGAGATAGTGAGTAATATTCCATCGCTGAGTGGTGTGAACCTGAAAGCAAAATTACATATGGAGTGCCAGACACTCCTCACATTGCCTAGAAAAGCAAATGACTTGGAATATTAATGAAAGTATTGTAATTTTTCTTATTTTTATTCTTAATAGATTAAATGAAAAAACATTTTCACTGAATTTTCATGTTTTCATATATCCCTTATCCTGTTCCTGGGTTGCATGTAATATGCATAGAATTACCTGCATAAGTTTTAAGAAGCATGCATTGATTTAACATTTATGTAATTTCCAGGGAGCAATTGTTATTTATATTCTGGTTACAATTCTGAATACAGAAGAGAAAATTGGAGGGAAAGAAATTTACAGTTAAAATGATAATGATCATGAGACTTTATGATGATGATATTTATTATTAATAATAAAATGATTATTGTTGATGTCACTGTTGTTTTTGTAATGACACACAAAAAAAATTATGCGATTAAACGTGTGTAAATCACATGATTGTATATTCAAAACGATACACAAAAGATGATTGAAAAGTAAATGGAAACGTAAAAGTCTCTTAAAGGTCAGTGATAAAATTATGTGTGGGACACATTATTGCATGATATTTATTTCTTTATTAATTATGCTTTTGACATACTGTTTGATGCCATGTAAGCACCTGGTCTTTGGAGCGAGTTGTTTATGAATACCCTCACAGTGTTGTTTGTGGAACGTTTCTTTCTGTTTCCTTTGTGATGACACGGAGTATTTTCTGAGTATAAATAAGTGCTGGATACTGACGGGCAATGACACATTCTATGTGGGAAGGTGGCGACTTCAGGTGAGTTTTAAAATGCACTACAGCTCTGCGGAAACTATTAATTTGATGTGTTGCCTGATACAATTATTGCTCATGTTTTGGAAAACTTTTTTATTTTTTGTCTCCGCTGGAAAAAATGAAATGATAGATCACATAGACCAGTGAATCATATATA